CGCGCTGGCCGCGGCGGCCATTGGAGGGTGAACCAACGGCAAAGGAAGACCTTTCTCTCTGTCTCTCTCTCTCTCACTGTCCACTCTGCCTGTCAAAAAAAAAAAAAAAAGTATTATGTAATAAAACAATACTTTTAAAGGCATTTAACACAGGGTCTGGCTCCTAGCAAGTACATGACAAATGCTGACTGGCTTGCTTGCTTGATTTGAGAGACAGGAAAAGACATAGAGAGCGCTCCTATCCACGGGTTCCCTCCCCAAAGGCCTGCAAAGGCAGGGACCGGCTGGAGGTTGGATCCGGAATTCAATCCTGGTCTCCCACGTGGGCAACAGAAACGCAAGCACTTGAGCCTTCATCACTCTCCCAGAGTCTGCATCAGCAGGAAGCTGGAGTCAGGGCCCAGAATCAAGAATCAAACCCAGTGTTCTGATGTGGGAGGCGGGCGGCTTTACCACCGGGCCAAGTGCCTGCCCCAGCCCATCTCAACCTGGCTCTGCTCCTGCCCCTCTTGCTGTCCTGTGCCACCCTGGCCACCCCAACACACAAGCAGTGCCTGGGGGGGACAACGCTGCTGCCCCATGAGCAGACACTGTTGGGGGGAGGGGCTCCGTGGCCAGCACAGGAGGGTGATGGGAGATGCGGGTGGGAGCGTGTGGAGCAGGTGTCGGCCAGGGTGGGTGCTTCGGCCCCTGGGTGAGGCCATACACCACATGCAGGGCCATCATGGCTGCTGGTTACAGTTTGTGCATTGTGTCTGTCTGAGGACAGGGGTCTGTTGTGTGCTGAGTGTGTGAGCAGCCGTAGTGTTTCCTGCGGGTGAGGAGAGTGTGTTGGGGGGGAGGGGGGGCTGTGGGCTGGAGAGTGTGTGCTGCGTGTGAGGTGAGGGGTTTGTGTGTCGGGGGGCGGGGGGTCGCACGTAACCTGGCTCTGAGCACCCTTCCGCGGCCGGACCACTCCCATGGACCCTGTGGTACCACTGGGCCACCAAGCGTCTTACCTGAGACACAGCAGGGACTGGAGGTGATGGAGGCTGAGTGGCAGGGGCCGCTGGGGGCATGGATGGCCTCCCAGGCAGCTCAGAAGTCGGCAGGAAGCAGAAGGCAGGCCCGGCCCCAGGTGTGTGACTCAAGGGCGGCCATCTGCACTCCCGGGGAGGCCAGGAAGCCAGCGCCTTGGGTGGGGCCCCAACCCCACGGTCACCGGGAATGCCCACTCTGAGCATGGGCGGGGCCAACAGCACTGAGCTGGCCCAGGCTGGCCGAGGAGGGAGGAACTGGGCCCTTGGGTGAAGGGGGGTGGGGAGTGAGGCCCTGACCTCAGCAGTCCTAGTTGAGGGCCGGGGGGGCGGCAGAGGGAATCCAGTGCAGTCCTCAGGAGCGGAGCTTCAGGGCCGAATCCAGTGAGAGGGCAAAGCTGCTCTCAGGAGACAGCCCTGCCTAAGGGGGATCCCGGCCAGGCTCGCCCACAGGAGACCACCGTCCAGTGCGCCTGATGCAACCCTGCCCGCAGACGCCCCACCTGTTAGACAAGAGGAAACTGTCTGGCCTCCAGCTGAGACAGACAAGCCATCCCCCGCACCCGTGCCCCTAGTCTGAGGGAGGCGGCAAGCCCTTGCTGCGGCTGCCCGCTGCGCTGTGTGGGGGCCCTGCTTGCCCTGATGGCAATCCTAGGACGACACGTGGAAGAGACCAGGAAGCCGGCGCTCAGTTTCAGGACTCGCACTCAGTGTGTAGTGGATTCGAATCCAGTCTGAGGTTTAGAGATCTGGTTTCAATACACAGAATCTCCCCGGGGCTCACGGGACAGGAGCAGTGTTTCACCCCGTTCTGCCAGGCCACAAAGCCTGTGAGCAGCAGAGCACACAGCCAAGCTCCTCCCGACCTGGTGCCCTGCCCCAGGGCCAAGGCGAGGGGCGCTGACAGTCCAGCCAGGAGTAAGTGAACCAGATGTGCCAAGACAGGGCCAAGGGAGAGAGCAGATCCTGCTTCTGCGCCGCCCCACCCCCAGGGCAGGCCCAGACCCATCTGCAGCCTGCCTCAGGCTTCCTCCTCCCTCTACCAGGGCACCCGGAAGTGAGAGGATGGAATGCCACAAGCAGCGACTGGCATTTTTGGTGGTGACACTGGCATTTTTTTAAAAAAAAAGATTTATTTATTTATTTGAAAGTCAGTTACAGAGAAAGAGAGAGAGAGAGAGAATCTTCCATCTGATGGTTCACTCCCCAATTGGCTGCAACGGCTGGAGCTGATCCGATCTGAAGCCATGTGCCAGGAGCCTCTTCCAGGTCTCCCACACGGGTACACGTTGCCCAAGGCGTGGGCCATATTCTACTGCCTTCTCAGGTCATAGCAGAGAGCTGGATCAGAAGTTGAGCAGCTGGGACTCAAACCAACACCCATATGGGATGCCGGCACTGCAGGTGGCAGGTTTACCCGCTATGCCACAGCACCAGCACCAGCATTTCATTTCAAAGGCACAATTTCCATTTTTTATTTTAAGATTTATTTATTGAGTTGGAGAGAGGGAGCTAGAGATCTTCCAACTGCTGGTTCACTCCCCAAATGGCTGCAATGACTGGGGCTGGGCCGGGTCAAAGCCAGGAGCTTCTTCTGGGTCTCCCACGTGGATGTAGGGGCCCAAACACTTGTGTCATCTTCTGCTTTCCCAGGCCATAGCACAGAGCTGGATCGGAAGTGGAGCAGCCAGGACTGAAACTGGGACCCATATAGGATGCTGGCATTGCAGGCAGCTGCTTTACCCACTACGCCACAGCACTGGCCCCACAATTTCCACTTTCTACACAAGAAAGCTGAGGCCAAGAGCTGGTGTCACTGGCACTGGGGCCAGGATGCAGGGCTGACGGGGTCGCTGGGCAGCAGCTCAGCCTGTGTCCCCTTCAGCCGCCTCGGGCCAACACCCAGCGCACGCTCCTCTGAGCTGGGTTGAGAAGGGGCTAGGGTCACTGGCGATCTTCCAGGAGGGTCTAGGGGTAAGACACACCAGGAGGGAAACAGGCAAATGCCAGTCTATCTGGGAAATGAGGATGTTCTGACTGAATCCCAAGTCAACCTCTCAACGTGACATTCCTGATCTCCCTGGCCTCAACCACCTCGCCTGCAGGCTCTGGTCCAGCAGAGGGTGTTCAGTGCCACAGTGGGCTATGCTCTGACCTCCAGGCCTCCGCGGAAGCCATTCCCTCCAGCTGGACGATCTTCCTCACAAGTGCCAGCCTGTTAGTTGTTCCCAGCATTCTTCCTTCCCGCTTTGCCAACAAAACTTGGTTTTACTGGATATAATTGGTGCCCAGCCCCAGGGAACAAGGCTTGGGCTATGGCCTGTCTGTTCTCCTTTTCTGATTTCTCAAAGTGGCCATTGGAGGTATCCCTTGTGACCAGCTTCCTGGCCAATGGCACCCTCAGGGGAGAAGTCTGCTCTCAGCACAGCAGTTGTTCCGCAGCTGGGAGACAACCAGACCCTCCGGAGGACTGGGTGGTAGCTGATAAGAGCCCATTTCCTTGGTAACACTGTTAATGCCCACAAATACAAAAACTGCCCAAAGTGAGCAAAACATTTCCCTGTTTCTTTTTTGCCAGTTATTCTTTGCAACTAGAAGCATTCCTAATTGATAAATCAGCCTTGAGGTTATAACTCTAAAAAAAGTCACTTTAAGAGGCAGGCAGATGGCACAGCAGCTAAGCTGCACCTTGGGACACCTGTAGCCTGAGTGCCTGGTTCGTGTCCTGGCTCCTCTGCTTCCAATCCAGCTTCCCCGCTGATGGGCACCCTGGGAGGCAGCAAGTGATGGCTCCAGGACTTGGGTTCCTGATACTCACGTGGGAAACCTGGATTGGGTTCTGGGCTCCGGCTTTGACCTGGCCTAGTCCTGGCTTTTGTGGGTATTTGGGAGTGAATGAACAGATGGAAGAGCTCCAGCTCTCTACCTTTCAGATTAAAAACAAAAGAAGTAGATTTAAAAAGGTCACTTTCTCCAGGAAACATTCTCTGGCTGCTAAGAAAAGCAGGAAGGGGCCCCTCGTCAGCACAGTGGAGGCGACCTCTGCACCTGTTCACTCAACCCGTGCCCCCTCCATGAGGTAGGCAGCAGGGGTCCAGCAGTGTTCACCACCTCTAAACCATCATCTCTGCTGAACGACTTCGCACACTCAAAGCTGATGGCTGGCACAGCCTCCTGGAGGGCAGATGAGCCCGCAGACGGCTGGCCAGACCTGGAAGGACCACTTAACCTGTCAGGAACAGAGCAGGTGTGCACTCGTGTGCAGTGGGATGGGTGTCACTTTGCCTGGCTAGGAAGGACGGCAGCTGCTCCCTGCACTGCACAACCTCATAACAGCTGTCACTTCTGCAAGTGGCTGAACACTTCCTTCTCCCTGCCTCGGTCCAGTCTTAGCCAGGGCTACACCCACCCCCGCACCCTGGTCCATGTGTGATCTAGAGGCGCTCACTTGTACCTGGAAGGACAATAAGACACCCAAGCTGCTGGCCCCTCCCACAGTGGCATTATGCCTTCTTTATCACTGTCCCTGCTTACTCACCTACAAGACATTGCAAAAAGTTTCATTTTGAGTCACCCAGTTCTATCTTCATGTGTCACCATCCTGCTTCTCCCGTATGTCTCTCCCATGAGGTGGTCCTGTCTCTCAGAGCAAGTGGGACATCTGAGCAGACTATAAACTGGATGTTTTAGTACATTAATTCATCTAACCCTCAAAATAGTCAGTACTTTCATTTTCCACAGAAATCACAGTACATTTCCGCACTCAGTGAGCGCTGTGGCAGCTACCTTACACACGCCATTGCTGATCTTCCTGAAAAGCTGCTGCAGTAACTTATTTCCCATTTAGCAGATGAAGAAACTGAGGTTCAGCAAATAAAAGCCGTAAGAAGTCAGGTCTGTCCAACCCCAGAGCATGTCAGGGTTGAGCCAAGCCAGACAAGGGACCCACTTGTCTGTTGAATAACAGCTGAGGGAGAGTCCATCAACGATCTCAGTAGAAAACTTTATTATACATAAAGATTCTTACCACTAACGAATGCAGACAGGCTAGGAGACGATGGGACTGGATGGAGGCTGGCTAGCTCTTTGGAAAGTGAACAGGTTTAGGTGGCTTAGTGTCATGCCACACTGATTGGTCGGGCAGACGGGAGGACAGGTGCCAAACACCAGGCGGGGGTGGGGGCATCAGGGCACGAGTGTAACTGCTCTCTCTGCCCACTCTGCCTTCCTGTGACCTGGGCTTCGGAGGATGGCACACCCGGAAGCAAGCGACTGAAGCAAGGGGGCTTCCTGTGGTGGCCCAGGCTCGTCTCTGAAGTCACGGCGACACCACTGTAAGCAAGATGTTTAATGGGATGATCTCCACAAACTACACACAGGTTTCTAACCATCACATCCATCACACGCAGTGAAGTACAAAACATTAAGTTACAGGCTGTGGGGGAGAAGGTAGCACCCAGGGTGGCACCTTCCAGTCCTGGTTGTTCTAGGGTGGGGGTGGGAGAGAAGGTCTTTGTTTAAACTGAGCCCCTCATTTCAATGTACAAAAGAATTACTCTGATCGATATTAAATTGTATTGAAAACAAAATGAACTAAAAAGCAAATACTACTCTATGTTGGGGTGGAAGTGGAGGAAAGAATGAGTCCTTCAAAGCAGGGAGGGAGACGGCTGGGGGAAGGTTCCGTGCTGTGACCCCGGGCGGTCACTCACGCTGCTCCATTTTTACTTTCGGTGGTCTCAGGAAGGTCCGGTTCTTCTTCTCTTTCTTCCCCTTTGTATTTGCTTGGAAGTTCCGCCAGCTGTCCACGCGCCCATCTCGACTTTCCTAAGGAAGACACAAGCGGACCAGAGGAAGGGCCTGCACCTGCCCTGCCACCCACTCTCCCTCCTGCAGCCCAGCCCAGTTCGGCCCAACAGGCGGATCTAGGAGCAGAACAGAGCAAGACTGCTGTCCTGCTTCCATGGCCGGCCCTACAAAGTGCCCGAGAAAGCAGGATGCATTCAAAGAGGACAAACTGAGAAGTATTCACATAAAGTATCACAGAAACGAGGCCAGACACTGCCAGTCTTCACAAAGGATGACTACAGTGTGCACTGCCAACCAGCATTTCACAAGCGACACGCTGGAGCTCAGAGGGGCTAAGTCGTGTTCTCAAACCCAGGCAGCGAGCCAGCAGCACAAGCCCTCTTTCTGCTGCACCCCAAACCTGGAATGCAGGCCTCAACGTCTAGTGTTGTGGAGAGGGCCACTAGGATCTTGACCTCAATCTCATCTCCATGGGGCCTGCTCTTGTTCTCTCTCTCAAACAATAAGTGGAACAAAAACAAAGTCATCAATTCTGCACAGCCAACCACTACCCCTAAATCCTACCAAAGACCAAATGTCACCCCAATCCAGAAATTGGCCAAACACCTGAAGGCTAAAACCAGGGTATCAAAAAGGAATCAAGTCCAAGGAAGTGTCCCTTTAGGCAGAACCCAGTGTCACAAGAACCTCAGTTCTGACTAACAGCCCTCCCAGCAGCGGCTGCTCCAAGTCTGCCTCCTAAGTGAAATGTGCGACCTACGTTCCTGGAGCCCGTTCGGTGGCTGTGCCTACCACACACTCTAAACGTCAGTCAGACCCTCGTGTCCGTGCAGAGGCCGCAGGGCTTAGAGGAGGCTGAGCCAAGAGCAGACTCTCCTACAGCTCCTCCTTGCCCCGCGTGCCTCTGGCCGTTTACCCGTCAGGCATGGAAATGCCCCAGAAACCAAATTTCTTGATTCTAGAAGAATCTCTGCCCACCCCCCCCCCCCGACATTTACCTCGAAGTTTTTCTGCCACTCCCGCTCGCGTTTGGCTTTTTCTTGAGCTTCAATCTCTTCTTCCCGCTGTCGTTTCCTAGGAGGAGCAGGCCGCAGTTCTTACAGGGCGCGTGGGGACGGTCAGCCCTGCAGGACAGGGCGACTCCTCGCGAGAGCGAGCACAGAAGGGAAGTCTACAAACAGGGCTGCCTAGAAAGGGCTCTAAGCATTTTCATGACTGTCTCCTTCCAGATTTGGTGAAAGACAGAAACATCTCTGCTAGACAGACAGACAGACAAGACCCTCCAAAGTCCCGGCCAAAAACCCCCAAAAAGTGGGGGCTCAGGCGGGAGGAAAGTACCTCAACACCATATTTCAGCACAGTGACCATTACAGCAGCACAAGTTCTTACTCAAGAGGATTCCTGCACAAAACCCTATGTCAAGGACAGGCGTCTTGGGGCAGCAGTCAAGATGCTACTTGGGGTACCCAGATCTTGTATCAAAGTACCTGAGTTCAAGCCATGTTTTACTTTTTTTTTT